TAAACTAGGTCTTTTTTAGCTGGCTAAATTTCATTCCACTTTATTTGGTTTGTTCTGCCTACCTGAATACTCTTCTATTAAATTTCCACGTTGCTTACGTTAATTGTGCTTGTCTTCGTTAACTTTATTGCGTTTGTAGCATTTTCTGAGTTACTTCTGGACATTTTTTACTTATCGCGAATTTGTTGCTAACCAACATACTTCGTATGTTAATTTAGGGAAGAGTTATGTCTGCATAGCCGTATTCTTTAACAGATATGTTTTATTTGTTACTGTCATTTCAAGTGATTGGCTGTTGTTTGACATCCCCCTGTGCGGCTGCGCTTGATGTGCATGTTGACAAGGTGTATACCTGTCTATTACCCACTACCTCGTTCATACTATCTCTAGGAGATAGTTGGTCGTTGCTGGAGGGGACGGGGGTGCACGGTCCTTGTGGTCGTGCTAGGCTCGAAGAGTGGTTCCATGCACTCAGTGTGGAGCGGACTACGGTCCAGCCACCGCCTTGTGTGCGCTTGATTCCCGAATACAGCGTGCTTGTGTTTGCCTGTGAAGGAGTGTGGGCCGGCTCCGTTGATGAAACGTGGCTCTCATCCACATGCGTCCCGGTCTTATTCCTTCGGGTTTACACTGGATATGGGGTGTGTGGATGGAGCTTTGGGGGGTGCAGCGCAAGCCATCCATGGTCCCTCTGTAGGCGCAGGCGTCCTGTGGCTGGCCACAGTGACAGGCAAATCCGAAACCGGATGCCGCCAACCATATGCATAGGTTTATGAATAGACTTTGAGCCATCGATAAGCAATAAGGAACAAAAATAATGCATACAAATGGCAGGAACAGCTACGTGATATTTCGAGCATTTTGTCTTTTTAGTTTTTTCACACACATTTTGTTCTTTTTCTGCATTTTGATTGATATAACTCTAACACAATTAGTTCAAAACATTTAACTATACATTTCTTCCATTGATTCCGGTTTCGCGCCATATCGCCAAGTTTGTTGACCCATTGCCAGTCCTCATCCTTGGACTCCTAACCAGGAAGACGTACAAGGCCGGCGATGGCGAGACGGGAGATCGACGTTTTCATGTTTTGCCGCCAAGGGGTTGGCTGACCCCCACGCCTTCTCTTCCAATTCAATCCCGTGCGAGCAAATAAGGCACGGCGTGGTAAGCGCTCACATGACATACGTAGAACGTGACCAAGCCACCTCAGTCGACGCATTGCGACAAGGCAATCAAGCGGAAGACTCATGTTTCCCAAGACGCGATGCCGGATTTCATCGTTACGAACCCGGTGCTGCCACCACACACGTTTTATCCGCCACAAACATGTGTTGTCGAAGGTCGAAAACCTACGCATGTTATCCACACGAATCGGCCAAGATTGACTTCCGTACCACAGGACCGCGCGACCACAGGACCGACCGACACAGGACCGCGGACACGAGCATTGTAGACCCTCCCCTTTAAGAAGGGGATATGTCCTGACAATTCCACAAATGATTTTGTTTGGTAAATGCCGATAGGGTTTTGTTCACAAGCTCTAGCTGCGTTGCTTCAGTGGTAAGTGAGGGGGCAGACGACTTCCTATCCTGGAGCAGCACTTTTTACTTCAATGGGGAAAGGCGTATACAATACTTAACAGCTTCAGTCGCCAGTCGGTTTAAAAAGGACTACACTGTGAATGGTCACCGAGCAGAGTGATATAATCAGCATAATCTAAGTCGATTAGGCGAATGCCAGGAAGAAGCTCAACTCCAAGATTTCGGGAGGGTTCCGGAGAACCCAACAGGACGTTTTCATTTGCAAAGTTTAAGAGCAATGGAAACAAAGCGCACCTCTGTTGCACATCACTAGAGATAGTGAAGGGTGAGGAAAGCTTGCCATAGACTCTCACTCTACCTGACACTTGAAAGTAAAGCGCCCGAATGGTGGAAGTGTGCTTTTCGGGGACTTTATTTCTTAGCAAACAGTGCCATAAAGCAGGCCGATCGACGGAGTCAAATGCAGTTCGAATGCCCAGGAAGACGACAATGGTAGCCTGTGGTAAAGGCGGCTGTGTTTAAGTATTTGCCATAATATGTAGGTCTGGTTCACGCATCCTCGACCGGGGCGAAAACTAGCTTGTTCTTCTCGGTAACATAACTCGAGGATCGAGCATAGTCTACGAGCAATATGGGTGCCTGCAGTTTGGAAGCAACCGGCATGAGACAGCTTCCCCTGTGATTAGCACAGAACGTGCGAGCACCTTTGTTGAAAATAGGGACAATTACTGACTCACCCCAGGAGGATGGAATTTTCTCTTCGTTCCAGAACTTGGAAAACAGTGATGTCAACTGCTTGACAAGTGCTGGGCCGCCACACTTGTACATCTCTGGCGGAACTTTCTCTGAATCGAGACTTGAATTTCTTGAGGTGTCAAATGTGGACGAAAACCTCTACTTCGTTAGGTGCCTCCAACGAAATGTCCCAGGGCATGCAATTGGGTGTACTTGATATACAAGCGGGCAATTCAAGGGGATTGAATTTGGAGTGAAAATGTTCGGCCCAGCGCTTTACACATCACAGATTATTGATTCGTGACCTATCCGCTTCACAGACACTCTAGCTGACACCTGGTGAACCGAATGAGCTGGAAGAGCTTGCGGAAATTGCCGGAGAGAGCAGCGGTCTCAATCTCCGAGGTGCCCTGTGACCACCAAGTCTCGCACTCATTAGTCAAGTCAATAATTCGCTTTTATGCACCCATGAAGGGTGAATTTTCAGCTGTAACACCCGCGCGATCGAAACGGTAAAACAAACAAATAACCACACGGAAAACAATAAATACCGGGGCTAAAATAACTTTAATGTGTGGTACAGGATCACTAGTATAATTTCCTGTTTACTTCGTGAATGATAATATTCGGATCAAGCAGAAATCTAGCTAGATAAGGTACCACAGATGAGCAGTGGGCCCGCGTGCGTGCATATATGGCTCTGTAGTTTTGTTGCTTTTGGGAACTAAGTTTGTGGTTTGATAAAACGCTATGTAAAAGATGGCTGATATCAGTGAGTATTTTCGAAGAAAGTTTTGCGCATGAATTAACATGAACAGTTTCAATGAATTGAACCACGATTGGTTTAGAAATACCACAACATCGAGATGTGTTTTAGCGACGTATGAAGTAGCTTGCAATGCTCACCAAATACGCATGGAATGATCACAGGATAATTGTAAGTCCAACGTGGTAGAACACATGCAATGATGACTCGCAGAATCAACTGGTAGGAGATTGAGGACGAACGAAGCTGTGTGATATAAAAGGACAGTCGCCTCACTTTGGTGACTTCTTCATTCACGTGAATTGACCACGATAAATCATGGCTCAGTGTGGTTCCCAAATACTTCACTGACGTCGAGAAGCTCAGGCTTTCACCACTGATGTAAAGTTGGGGACAGTCAGCAGCGAGTTTCTGGTAACGATCTGCCTTATGCAGCGAAAACAGTACATCTTTGCACTTAGAAGCATTCAGCGTTAAGCCGCGGGAGTTTGACTAATGCACGATTTTATCTAAACAACAATGTAGCATAGTCGAAAAGGCCGAAGTTAGATGATCCGCGCCGATTACTACGTCATCGGCGTATTTTAGCATTATGGCTTCTTCAGGAACAGGGATGGAGCCAACATAGGTAGAGAATAAGAATGGCGACAAAATGGCTCCTTGAAGGAAACTGGAAGTAGTGGTAAGAGGCAAGGAGCTCCTGCCGTTGCAAGCGGTTATACGAGTACGTTTGGCAAAATAATCCTATAGCAAGAAAGCTATATTTGGTTAAATATAAGTAGCTAGGAGATCTTGCAACTAGATTTCACGGTTAACACAACCGAAGGCGTTGGTGAATTCAAGGAACCATACACGTGTGGCTTTATTCTTGCTGTCTAGCAACGGTAGCACTGAGTGCACTAAACAAGCCACTGCGTCTTGTGTCGACCTCGAGCTTCGGTATGCAAATTGATATTCTTTGTTTGAGTTGCCGATTGAGAGTCTGGCGCATCGAATTATGAGCTGACTCTGGTGACACATTTCGACGGCGATCAAACAGTTCCAGCGAGCGAGCGGAGATCCATGTTTTCAAAGCATGTTAAGTGAGACCACAAAGCGATTGACCAGAGGAAAGCATCGCTTCGTGCAAACAAGCCCAAAGATGCTCAACATCCTGGGGTGGACTACAGATGAGAGCGATAGCGCAGCTTGATAGCTCAGTTGGACAGAGGCGTCAACTAACCTGTTTGTGTCAATCTTACGGTACAGTTGTTTCCTGGGTCTACCGAAGCGCAAGCAGACGTTCGCACAAACCAGCACGTGATCTGAATCTAGGTAGGTTGGCCAGAATGACTTGTAGTCTTGTATACTACTGCCTTGCCAACGGAAACTGATTGCGATGTGATTGGTCTGAGACCATAACTGGGTTGACGATGAAGAGCTCCAGGTTGCGGAAAGTCTGCTGTTATGTCTGTACTTGGTGCTGGGAAGAACCAGGTGGTCGTCCTCGCACAATGTGAGAATTTACATTAGCAGATGCATCTGGAAACGGATGTCGCCATACCTTTGACATTGAATTTGATCATTACTATTGGCCTCAAGATTGTCTGCTCAACGTCTCATCTTCATGCCGTAACCAACTGTTTGCGCGCGCATTAGGTTCGTAAGATTTCGGTGCTTTTGTCCAGCATATTTACTGTATGCATTTCAGTCATACATTATCCTGCCCTCATCCTTTTCCTTCTTTCCTATCATTATCAGCTATATTGTTTTATAGTTGCATAGCAACCCATTGCCATTACAACGTACGGCTGTGCGGATTTTTATACTTATACTTGACCACAGCCGTGTTACATCTCCAGTGTGTATCTTCTGCTACAGAGCTAACTGTCAATCCACCTGAAGGCATTGTTGCCGGTCCCGTAGATGAGAAGAATTTTTTTGAGTGGGAAGCCCTGATTGCGTGAGTTGTTCTTTTTTACTCTGCTTGTTACTTTCATGGATGAACACCACGTGTATGTCTTGATTGCGGTTATACCAGTGCGAAGCTCACGCTCCATTTTCCATTGCACCAGTTGTCTCGTTGAGTCTTCTTCACCAAACTTATTGCTGCACTCATTATTATTATTTACCAGCTATCGCATTGTGGTAATGGGCTGCCTTTTTCCCAGCTGCGGATTCCATTTGCTTGCATTTACAATAATAGCAGTATGACCAACTGTTGTCAACCCTATTGAACCTGTCGGACGGATATTACCACTGCCCCATTCACTTTTTTCTTCGGTCATTTTCCAGTTTTCTCAGTTATCTCCGACATCGTCGCTTACGTTCTGACTCATAATTCTTGGTATATCTGACCGATATCATATCACAACCTTTGTACTCATTAGACTTCGTCTATGGATTTGTGCCGGAAAATCTGTTTTTACCGCACCGTAGATCCACTAACTCACTTCCAAATGTCCTCTAACACCATGTTTTCCTTTGAGTATGCGCAAGTTCTAGTTTAGTCTCTGGTGTCACTGCATTAATAGCGGCTGTCGGCGCCACTACAATACGCCTGATCGACCGGGTTGACTAAAAACTTTTCACCAATCCATCTTTTCCTGTTACCACACCAGCGGTCCCGAGGGTACGCCATTCGAGGGCGGGGTTTTCGCCGCTAGGCTTTCATTTCCGATGGATTACCCATTGTCCCCACCGAAGATGCAGTTTGTCACAGAGCTTTTTCATCCGAACAGTGAGTCAGCTACTAATCTTGCTTACTCATCGAAGTTTTCTCTTAGCGCCTTCGGAATCAATTTTGGGCCTAAACATTTTCGACCGTTCAGTTCATGCATTTGTCCCTTGTTTTTTCATATACACCTTTCTCCGACTGTTATGCTTAACATACTTTGTGCAGAGATCATGCACGCTCTTTGCGCCTTTTTTTGCCATTTTGGATGCAGACCGCAGACCCATTGTTTTCTTTTCCCTGAGTACTCTTTATGTTATGTTGTGTGATGTTGACGTAGGAACTTGGGGGCTATCTTTTATTCGACTGCTTCCATCGCTGCAATCAGAGGAGGGGGAGAATGTCCGCAAGCATAATATATGGGTATCATGTGGTTTTTGACATCGTTTAATCTGTCATTGTTACTGCACAGCATCCTTGTACTTACCATGAAATCGCTGACGTCGTGTCTAGCCGCTGTTGGACCCGTACGTCTTCCAGGATGGGGACCCAAAGATGGCGAGTGCCAATGGCTTAGGACACTTGAAGACATGGCCCGCAACCGGAATCAATGGAAGAATTGTGTACAGTGTTGTGTTGATTCACATGTTTAATTCTA